AAAAACTAAGAATTGGGCACGTGTGGAGCATAAGATGGAATTTGAATTGCCAAGAACATTTGACCAATCAAACATAGGATTTGTGTGGAAATGAAATTTCTTTTCTATTTTCTATAAAACTTTTCCTCGATCAAACATGGCCTTAGTGAAATTACAAGGTAACTGGTAACATTCTTGATGCTATGAAAAAGATATTGTTCCTTTGATATCACAACCTAGTGGTGGTGGCGGTTCTGCTATCTAAGTTGCTAATTTTTTATTCAGTTTCTTTTTTATTATTATTATTATTATTATTTATAATTAACTTTTTCTAAGGGGTGGTAGTGATGTTGTAGCCCACGTGATTGCATTTGTAAATGTGATATTTGAGTGCGGATGAGAATGGATTAGGATGGGTGAGAGTGGATGTGGTGGGTGAATTAGCTTGGTTGGAGAAGGTGAAATTTGTGTTAATATATATTTTAATAATTTTAACCAGGATTTATTTATTCTTTTGAAAAATTATGTAATTTCATTTGCATTTTTTTTTTTTGTTGTTTTACTTCTTTCTTTTATTTTTTGTTTGTTGAAATAATTATTTATATGGCTGAAATGCAGGGAATAATGAGTTTTGTTTAGGATTGATTGTGTTAAAAAAATAAAAGTTGATCATATATTTGTTACGTTTCACTAAAATAGAGGACGAAAATCAGAAATCAGGCAAAATGGATAAACAAACTAAAGAAAAAGAACAAATTTGTTTATTTAATTTTTTGGACTACTACCCAACTTCAAAATCATAATGAATTTCTTGGGTGACGAATTTTTTTCAAATTATCGGAGTAGTAACTATAATTTATTCTGTAAGTGTGTCATTTGATACTCAACTTCAAATTATGTGAAGAATCTTTTCCAAATGTAAAAACCAATAAGGTGAAAAGTCAAGTCTTATTATTTATTTTTTTTTTGTTAGAAGAAATCCAAACGTTTTTTTTCCAGCCGTCACTATGGACCGGAACTCATTGATTTAACTGGAACTTATTAATTTTGTCATCTTTAACTAATAAACTGTCAACTTTAATGCCACACATTCCTTTAAAAAATGTAAACAAATTTAACTAAGAACAAAATATAATTTTTAGTGATCACTTTGAAATAAAATAAAGATCACTGGGTGACATGGGACTCGCCGTGAGTTGAGTGATTGTCTATATTTTTTTACCCAAATAGAAGCGTGTAATTGGATTTTTAAGCCTATCTTCGTTTAACTTTAAAAGTTAATAAAAATTATTTTTCTATTCAGTCACTATTAATTACAATCATTTATTCATTATTCACAACGAATTTTTGGAGAATCTTTTTTGGAAATAACGACCAATTGGCACCAGAAGGTGGGGTTTAAGTCAAGTCTTCCTTGTTCGTTTGTTGAATCAAGAAGTCATTACCGATTATTAATAGTTGGAACTTTGATTTGACAAGTCAATACACTTTTCTATGGAATTATTGCTGATATGAATAGTCTTTCCAGTAGCTTTCTACACAAATTCATTCTTACAGCTGATGCTATAAGTAGTCCACTTCAATGAATATCAGAAAATTCTTAGTTACAATTGTTCACAAAATGATAATTAATCAAAAGTTCTTTCCGCATCTCCAATTGTTGGCCATTGTACTACTACTGAGCTGGAGAGCCACTTTTGAACACTCTACAGGAATGAAAGATGGCATCAGGTGCATAGAAATGGAGAGAGAAGCTCTTCTCAAGGTCAAAGATGAGCTTATTGATGAATATGGCCGACTCTCTTCTTGGGGAAGTGAAAAATATAAGAAGGATTGCTGCAAATGGAGTGGTGTCATTTGTGATAATCAAACTAATCATATTGTTGAGTTGGATCTTAGTGATATGTCTCTAAGAGGTAACATTAGCCCCTCGTTGCTTGAAATACAATATTTGAAATATCTAGACCTCAGTTACAATGATTTCAATTATAGCAGAATCCCAAAATTCATTGGTTCCATGGGTAGATTACAGCATCTTGATGTCTCCTATTCTAATTTTAGTGGGGAAATTCCTCATCATCTTGGCAACCTTTCTGAATTGAATTTTCTTTCTCTTGACTCATTTGGTGATGGTTCACTAACTAGCACAAGTCTTGATTGGCTTTCTCGACTTCATTCATTAAGTAACCTGTCCATGTTCTCGGTTAACCTCACAATGGCAACTGATTGGTTACAAACAATAACTAAGCTTACTCAGCTTGAATATTTAAACTTAGATTCCTGTAACCTGTCAATGGTACTTCCTCCCTCACCTTACAATGCTTCTAATTCTCTATCTCGCTTAGTGCTCTCGGGAAATGAGTTATCTTCTTCTTGGATATTTCCTTTGGTGTTTAACTTAAGCAATAGCCTTAGTTTCCTTGACCTCCGTTCCAACAAATTACAAGGTGAGATTCCAGTATCCTTGAGGAATATGACTAGTTTAACTAGTTTATATTTATCTAATAACCAATTCACAGGGGAAGTGCCTCATCTTGCATTACCTTCCTCGTTGAGTTACTTAGATCTTTCTAACAATATGTTTACGGGTACCGTGACCCAATGCATAGGAAGCCTTTCCAAACTCGAACATTTGCTTCTTGATTCAAACAACTTTGAAGACATAATCACTGAATCACATTTCTTTAATATTTCCCATTTACGATGGTTGTATTTGTTTTCCAACCCAGGTATCTCGTTCAATATTAGTTCAGGATGGAACCCTCCTTTTCAACTGACACGTGTATCTTTAGCGGGTTGCAAAGTGGGTCCACATTTCCCCACATGGCTTAGAACACAAATGATATTACATTATCTTGATATCTCTAATGCTGAAATTTCAGACACCTTCCCTGATTGGTTTTGGGAGCCAAGTCTAAAATTACCAATTTTTTTAAATGTATCGCATAACAATTTTCATGGTGTCATTCCTGATTTGTAATCAAAGTACTCTTTTTCTGCTTCCATAGATCTGAGCTTTAATCATTTTATTGGTTCATTACCAATTTTACCTCAGAGTGCATCTATAGTGGATTTGTCGAGTAATGAGTTTTCTGGGTCAATTACCGATTTATGCAATGAAACTAGTTGCTATTGGTATTTTCTTGACCTCTCGAATAACTTACTGTCTGGACAGCTTCCGGATTGTTTTGCAAACCTACCAAATTTGCAATACCTTAATCTGGCGCATAATAATTTCTCTGGAAAGATCCCTTCACTAAATGTCGGGTCATCGTTGCACTTACAAAACAACAGTTTCACCGGAGAGATTCCAACATCGTTGAGGAATTGTACTTCCTTGTTTTTCATAGATCTTTCACGAAATAAGTTGACCG